AATCTAATAATCCTTTTAGTCAGTTTTGACCACATACCTTTTTTCAAACTTTTATTGGTTTGTCGACGAATAACAACCCATATAAAAGTATACATACAAAAATTAGATTTAATTTTTTGGCGAAAAACTCAGAACAACCTAAATACTGTATAGCCGTTTTTTGGCAAAAAAACTCAACTAGAAAAACACCGTGTTGCAATAAGTATATTATAACGTGATTGTATTACTGTTTTCTAACGTCAAAATTTGTTGCAAACGTTTTTTGAAACCATATTGAAATATAGCTGAGCGATCAATTTTGGCTCATATGAACAGGAGTGTCTGTGCATGGCGTTTTTGAAAGTTCCAATAAAACATGTCACAGATGTTCACAAGATGGATGTGTACCATTTAGTCATTAAACGGTAAATTTTTCATTTGTATTTTGTTTTTAAAAAATTTGAATTGAGTTTGTCTTACATGGTTTTTTCGTGACAACTGAAACTCAAAAATGGAAATAAGAACAGCCGAAATTACAATTGCGTGAAGGACGGGAAACGTGTACTTGAGTCCAAATACTATCGGCAATTGGATTAATAAAATATCAAAAGTGTAGAGTTGTTTTGTTCCCGAATTAAATTCGAAAGAGGGTTTTGTACTCATCTGTAAAAAACGTACGTTCCAGAGAATCATTTGACAGCTAGACTGGGGAGATTCCCAGTAAAAAGATACGAAGGTCAAAATTTTATAAAATCTTTATCAAACTTCTTGAGCTATTTTCTGGATAGGTATTTATTAATTGATTGGTTTCCTCACAGAGACTAGTTCAGGCGTTATTATTATGCCGTGAGCTCAACAATTTAATTACCTGAGACAGTTTCAACTGGCCTAATTGATTATAGGGGAGTTTAATATTGATCGATATGAAAAGAAAAATTTATACAATGTCTACAAAAACATACAACCATAGATACCCAGCCCTATTTTTAATGACGTTCGAGTGTTTCAGGTATTCTGAGACCTGGCCATGGGAGTTTTCTTTTTTTTCTAGAGTGGAGGATGTTATTTTGATAGTGTCTTCTAGGTTGTAACAATCTGGAATCTGGAAAATTCTGTGGCTAAATGAGTCAAAGTAGTTTGGTTTGAACAGACTGAGGTAGAAAAGCACGAAAGATAGTATCTCTGGCCCTCGAATCAATGGCTATAGAACCTGTTGTAACCTCCTACTAACTCAAACTCTAACTATCTGGTGTTTATGAGCACCAGTTTTGCCCGAAAAGGTTATCTAAAGTATCTAAAAGAGGCAATCGCTCAAAAATAAAGAGAGAAACAAGAGCTGCTTCTCTAAGTAACAAAGTGGAAATCATGTTTCACTTCAACTAAAAAATTTCTCCGCTAATAACAGATGCAATTTTGTTTTTATATTGTCGAACTTTTAATCAACACAGAGAAAAGCTTGAGGAGCAGTTTTTTTCGTTATTTTTATCTTTTTGTTGTTTTCATGCAAAATGTAGTAGGCATGGCTGGCATTGGTAGTAGGACTCAATCAATTACATTTTTTTCAACTTGACTGTTAAAACAAAGTTCTAGTCCCACTGAACGTATTTTTTGTAGCCAAGTTCAAAAATACTTGACAGGATTTAGGTTGAATCCTACAATTTTTTTGATAGCTGCAATTTTTTTTTGTTTTTTTTTTCACTTCAAGGAAGGAAGATTTTGTACTGCAACCGTTTGAAACTGGGTTCTGTCCAAATCTATAAAGGTCATGATCATGCTTGCAGACTGCTTCAATTTTCATGTAACCCTAGGTTGTTTGAAAGACAATTACACATAAGCAACCGTCCAATCACGTGAGAATTTTTTGCTTAATTTTTCTAAATTGTCTGTTCTGAAGAAAACTTTCCATCATTGAATTAGAAGTTAGATGAACAGTAATTTGGTCACTGAAACATAATTCAAAACAATACTTTTCTGCTACTTTTTTACGATTATACCTTGTCCTCAGTTTTTGATCAGCTTCTTTTACATCACCACACTGAATAGAACGAGAGTAATTTTAAAAACCTTTGCTGTATTTTTTAAAGACTATGGAGGTCGGAACATTCTGTGCTACTTGCGCAGTAACCGGCTCTTCTTGTTTATTTGTGTTGACCATTGAAAATTTTAGTTTGTTTTGGGTGTGTTTTAGTCTTTTTTAACGCCAAATAAGGTAACAGACATAATCATCTGGCTTTTATATTCAAGCCTATTTAGTTGTGACTCGAGCCCTTTTAAAAATTTTTTTTCTAATGTCGAGAAAAACTGGTTTCAAGTTTTTTGATTTTTCGTCTTAGTTCGAGCGAATAAAACAAGCGAAATTGAGCAAATAAAACAAGCCTAATTTTAGACTTTAAAACCTAATTTTAAGCAGAAAAAAATCTAACTTTTGGGTTTTTTAGCTTCATTTTGGGAACCAAAAACTTCAAAAAGCTCAAAAATTTATTATTATATTCGATGAAGTTTATGATTATTTTTTCTAGTCATTTTTCCAGATAATTTTTTTGTCCGATTTGCCTTTAATACTATGATTATCTAATATGCCTAAATTATAATTCAATTTTACGTGAGATCCTTTTATCACACCAAGCAGAAAAAACTAAACTAGTTTGGAAAAAAGTACCTTCTAACTTGTAGTTTTCTAAAGACTATGGTCGGAACATTCTGTAATGTTTGTACAGTAACCGGCTATCCTTCTTTCTTATTATCTTTGTTTCATGTTATTTTCCAGGTCTACAAGGCCAATAGACTCATTCTCGAGCTAACTTTTTTCGAGCTAACTTTTATTTGGTGTGCAGTTTTAAAAATGTTGTGTTTTATAGAAATCTTTGCCAGTTGATTCAGAAAGATTACGAAGACTTGCAAATGCTTTTTTCCTGAAGCGTGTATTTTTAGGAGCTTTCAAAATTTTCCAAATAGAATTCCCATCTTTTGGATTTTGCTGTGGTATGAACTCTTTTTCAATTATTTTGTTCCAATTCTTCGATTTCAGGTTTTTCGAGTTTAGCAGCGGAAAGTTTCATTTGTTTGGCTAGAATCGAAATTCTTCTTTTTCAAAGAAGAGAAGTAGGGTTTGTATCTGAAGGCTTTATTGATTGGCGTAGAAAAAGATCTCAATTTTGCGTTCGTGGTAACAAAAACAATACCAGAATCTCGAAAACTCGATTTTTTTGTCTTGTTTTGAAGTTAGCATATTGATATCAACCTCTCATCTTGCGTACAAAGTCTTATTTTTATAAGCGTTTGTATTCTTTATCTTTTTGCCAAGGTACAGATAGGAATGCGTACCGCTATTTGAGACAGTAAATTATTCAAAATTCCAACACTTTATCAGTTTTTCCATCTGAAACATACTAACCCGAACTTTTTTAAGAAAACAAGCTATTCGATATCCTAATAGATATGATTTTTTTCATCATTGCTGAAGTTTGCTGTATCGAAAAATTTCAGCGCCAAATTTTTATGAAACTAACCATCTTACCATTCCAAACCTCGTATCTTAACTTATGGCAAAACCTATAACCTATCTTAAAATAGGATATCATTTTCCCTATCTTCATGCATAGCCTTCAGACTGGTTGTCTATAACCTATCTGAATACATGGGGGTCCGCGGGAACCCCATCCTCTCTCCTGGTCAGCCTCAATATGTTCTACTCGCAATCATGAGTTAAATGGTTTCAATGTGATACTGATATGCTGTAAGCCTTCTTGGAGTTGTCTTGTTTGCCACGCATGCAGAACTAACTTACTGATCATTATGGAACGTAGTAGAAATCGCTTTCTGATTTTTGACGCAAATTGTTTACTTCTGGAAAATCTAGAAACAAATTGGTTCTTTTTTTTTGGAAAACAATGGTTAATTCTAATGAGTGCCAACTATTGTTTATTGGTTTTAGTTGCACAGAAACGATAGCCAACATAAGCGATAATCAATTATAAACAGCTGATATACAAAAATATTGGAGGTTTGGGCTTTCACACTTATCGTGATTTAACTTTGATTTAATTTAAGAATTAAAAATGATCATAAACACTTACTCACCTGGCGAGAAGAGTTAGCAGATTTCGGTGTTTGAACAGATTTGCTGTGCTGCAAAATGCTTTTGTTTTGAATTTTATGTGAGCCAGATCCTGTGGTCTGCTTTGATTTTAAAAGTTTTATTTGATACTGGCTGTAGATAATAGCAACTTCGTTAAATCACAAGACAAATCAGACAAAATCTATCATTGAATTGAGCTCGTGATAAGCCTATGAGGTTTGCACTGCACGCCACGATAAAATTAGAAATAATACTTTTTGGCAGGCCAGAAATTGTGGTCTGAACAAGTTTTTTATAATTGTGACTTGATAAGGCTGGGCAATGAAGCTAACGTCATGCTCTCTAGCAAGTAAACCGTAGCACGTGCGATAGAGCACGAGACTGATCAGAAAAATTTATCGTTGAACGGAGTGCGTGTCCATTTTGGTGGTCCATTTTGACTCCTAGTGCATTTTAATAAACTGACAAACCTATTTATCATGCAAAAGTGTCAAAACTTGTTTTTCAAATCTCTGAAATGAAAAATATATATATATATTTATTACTTGAACGGCCACAATGATGTATTAGGTTTCCAAATTTGCTTGCAACAAGATAATACTAGCTGAATTGACAAAAAGCTAGCCATCAATGAACTCAGATTGTGATCCAAAGCAACTTTTTCTTGCTATCTGATAAATTGATAAAGGCTGTTTGTTTCGGCAAATTTTGACGACTAAGCATCTGTGCATCTATTTTGCAGTTTGTAAAAGTGGTAGAATAGGTTAAATGACTACGCCGTAGGTTACTTTTTTTACCTTGCTAATCAGTATTTTTCATTTAAAAGGTTCAAAAATAACCATGTCTCCTGATTACTCAGAATGCAAAACAATGATACAGTCAAACATTTAAATTCAAAAATAGATTTGATATTTTCAAATGGTTAAACAGTTGAGACGGTTAATATGAATTTCTCATGTGAGTTTTTGATTTGCACACAAAAGAATGCTAGTGCGAAACCAACTTCAATTGTTCGAGCAAAAGCTGGACTAAAAACCCTGTACAGTATAGGACATTTTTACAATTTACATGAACTTCATACTTAGATGGCTTTGCATATATTTACAAGTCAGTCACTACAACTAACTTAAACGCCCACATCATCAATGAGGTTAAATGAGTTAACTATTTGACGCTATATGAATTTGCATGTTGCGTGTAACATGAGCTTTTCTGTGAGTAGCTAAGTCAGTTAGTCAAATATAAGCTCTAATTAGGACAACTGATCAAAGTAAAGGCAAAACGCGGCAGAGTTCTGACTATGGAAATAAAGCATCCAACATTAACATTTTAGAGTTTAGTTTCCAAATCCGTTCTCCACAACTGAGCCGTACTCATCTATTATAAGTATTCATTTACAGCATGCCTGGTTTGGCATACATTGGCAGGTGGTAGTAGTTGTAGCTCAAGTAGGCCAGCAGTCTGGTCTCCACACTCTTCTTGTACCCTCCAGACTGGAACTCCTTCATCAGTTTGTTCCATTCTCCAGATTTCATCTAGAAAAACGAAAAAAAAAACAGATAAATTACAACACAAGAATAACCGCTTTCCAGTTATTCTTATTCTCGATAAAAAAAAACAAAGAAAACAAACATTTTTTCATTATTTTTTCCAGACTGTTGTCGTTGTTTGTGCATGTGGGACTGATAATTGAAGGAAAAATTTACCATGGCCTTGATTAACGTGAAATAACAAAACCTTAGCATCTTTCACCAAAAATGAAATGAAACAATAAGATTGAATTTTCTCCCAAAAATGGTCTGAAAAGCAAAAAACAACATCTAACTATCATTTAGCGAAAAACAAAGAACATAGTCAACGGACTCATGTTTACTTTGCAATGACGCGTAAGCTATTTTGATTAATACGAAAACGAGACAGCCACGAAACGGATCAGACGTAATCAATCATCGAATGGCGCTCGCGAACTGTTCACTTTTGACCAGGTTAGCAACCTGCTAAAATAACAAAAACTGGTAATACTCTTTGACAACATAAATATTGTTCAAAACGCATAAGCACAGACATGCCATTTACCAAATACGTCATGAAAAAAAAACTATGTGATTTACAAGAGCACGTGCTCTGTTCTCGTTTTCAACACACTTGCAACATGACGAGACTGGCTGAATTGCCCATGCTGGTAAAACCATTTGTCCACACTGAAAGCACGTGACAAGATGTATGAATCAACTGAGCTCGTAACCCCATCTTATTTCGAATCGATGAAATCCTGAAGTCGCGGTCGGAATACCATTCGCCAAAACAACGCATTGTTGAGTTATTTAAACTTCGCCAAAAAACGAGAGCTTTAAAAATGTTAAGTGAATGAATTATAGCCACCTTAGAACTCGAAAACTAAAAAAAATGGAATCAGCCTGCGATGATTGGTATTTTGTTCAAATTAAACCAATTAAAAAAAATTGGATCAACAGCAAGAAACAACTCAACTCTACTGAAAGTAAAAACCGATAACATTTTTTCGCGCCATTTGCGCTTTCATAAATGGAGAGAACAACTTACCTCAAGTATCTATGCGAATTCAAAAATGCATTAATATATATGGTGCACAGCTCTAGTAATAATAACATTTTAAGGCTGTTTCCTGAAACAAAAACAATCATCAAGACCGTCATAAAAACATAGCAAACATGCAGTTGGAAAAGTGTCATTGAACGAAAAGAAACAGGAAAAGGAAATGAAATGAACTTGAAAAAAAATCAAAGTCACACCGCGAAAAATCAAATTTGAGCCTGAAAAATGACTTTCTGAGAAAATACACCTACAACTTGACGATCCATATTTAATTATTGCTGTTTAAAAGGAACAAGTCATCATACGTGCATCTGTAAACTTCTCTTATCTTTGAAAAGTGGAAAAATCTAAAATGAATATTTTCTGATTTGCTCACCTCCATGTTTTCTTCGATGATGGCTCGGACTTTCTGCGTGAACGAGTTCATCTCGCCGTCTTCACCTTCGTCTCCACTTTGAACCTACACACAGATAACCGTTAATCGCGTAATTACTTTTGCTGCATGCATCAAACTTTCGAAGAATGGTTAATTTTTTTCCAATACATGCCACAGCACTTTCTGGTGGGCAAGTGTTTAACTTGATGCAATATTCAGCCGCTCAAACTTTGAAACCATGTTATCTTTCATGAACAATCAAAGACATTCATGAACAATCAATGACATTCATGAACAATCAATGATTTCAGTGATTTAATTCTCATAATTCATTTCAAATTCATATCTGATAGCCTCATATCAATCTCGCATACCATGTTTTCTTTTATCAATTCACGATGATCATAACAATTTATCTATATAAATGTCTCACTGGAGGTGGGTTTGTGAGTATCTCTCTGATCTCGAGGAGGAGGTCTTCGAATCTGTCGTGGAACAGAGCCATGGCCCAGGGCTCCTCGAAGTATGTGTAGAAGTCCTTTATCAGACCCTCTTCGAATCTAGCAGCAAACAAAAGTTAATTTGGTTTGCATGTAAATTGCAATAATAATGATTGTTTCGCCACATAAAACTCACTCAAATTATTTCTCCAAATCCTAGAACATTCTTAGCAATTTTTGTCTCGGCGCTTTTTTTTGGTCTCGGAGATTTTCATTAAAAAGTTTTTGGCACAATTTTTATTTGATACCATAGAACAACCCATAACTTCAAAAAAAAACAATTTAGAGCTCGATTGTATCTCAAAAATAGATCATAAATTCCGGACATTGTCAAATACGGTACAATGTTGCGTTATTTTAAACAATAGCAGCGCATCAATTTTTGCCAATTAAAGCCGAAAAAATAGGCAATTATCACTGACTCTAACCTGGACACCATCCTATTCAGCAACTTCTCATTCTTCCCATACAGACACAAAATATTCCAACTCCTCAAACTACTCTTCTTGTTTCCATTCTGCCCCTCCCCTCTCTTCTTCACACAAGTCACCGTCTGCACTGTGCTGTAGTTGTTCACGTGGATCATAAAGTAGCCAGACTTGTCGCCTTTGGTTGGTTCCTCAGATGTGTCAAGAGAGCCAGTGACGTATTCTTTGCCCTGCAACAGGAAACGAATGCTTGCTATTCTTCATGCAATGACTTTAAATGTAATGTCTTGATTGCTACTCTTAAATGTTCTAAGCCTCGCGCTAATACATTCGATAGCATTGGCCCAATTTGAGAAAACTGGAACATGAGGTAAGTTTTTTCTGTAAAGTTTTTAATCCGCTGGAAATCTAAAAATTAAACTCCACAATCGAAACTAGAAATCGTTCACGTTTTTTCGCGCCATTCTCACATTCCTACTTGGAGAGTGCTATTTAAGTCACTTCCAGCAGATGAATTTCAATTGAACTCTAAAAAGCATATACAGTGCTGATTTAAATTATCCGGACGAAACGAACTAAACTTGAATTTTCAAACGCATTTTTCTCAAATTGGGTTAAAATTAGACAAAAAGTGAAGAGGACAAAAGTTGCTTAGAATTTCACCAGAATTAATATGGTGCCATTTTTTTTCTGAAATTCTCAACAAAAATTTTACCCCAAAAATGAGTCATTTTGGCTTTTTTCAATTAATCAAATATTACGCTGAAACTACTTTGTTAATTGATATGAAAATTATATCATAGGAAGCCTCTTACGCAGTTCAACAAAGTTTAAGAAGGGTTAGATCTCCAAAAACCAGTATAAATGAAAAAATTTTCACTTGATAGTCAATAAATGTGATTTTTACTACATAAAACCCAGAATATCTGTTTAAAAACAAATTTTAAACAATTTGCGCAACTTTTTGGAAACTTAATCCTTCTTAAATTTTGTTGATCTGCGTAAGAGGCTTCCTGTGATATAATTTTCAGATCAATTAACAAAGTATTTTCAGCGTAATTCTTGATTAATTGAAAAAAGCCAAAATGACCCATTTTTGGGGTAAAATTTTTGTTGAGAATTTCGGAGAAAAAATGGCACCATATTAATTCTGGTGAAATTCTAAGCAACTTTTGTCCTCTTCACTTTTTGTCTAATCTTAACCCAATTTGAGAAAAGTGCGTTTGAAAATTCAAGTTTTGTTCGTTTTGTCCGGATAATTTAAATCAGCACTGTATACCTAAGTGCATTCATAAATTCGTTAATATAAAAGAGTGCACAACTGTAGTTATTAGAGCATTTTGAGACTTTTTCCTGAAAAAAAAAACAAAAAATCACCAAGACCTAAATAACAAGAGTCTTCACTACGTTCACTACTCTTAACAACCGTATACATACATAGTTCGGTTCCTTCCTAGCTTCTTCCACCCTCTTCAGTAAGTCCGGCTTCCTCACACACAAGTACTCAAACTCCCCCGGCAACACACAATACACCACAGTTGGCTTGGAATAAATCGGAATCATGTTGTTCAGCTGCTGTCTCATGTTGTCGTCTTCCCCTTCAAGGTCGAAGTCGTCTTCCGTGTCATTGGGCTGCTCAATTGTAGGGTCAAAAAGACGAAGCATCGAGTGGGCCAGATAAAAACGCAGATTTTGCAAAAACTTTTTGAATTGCCCATATGAACAAAATGCCCTTCTAAATAAACCATGAGAACAGTTTTACCCCTAACATTAAATGACAAATTCAATCAGTAAGGCCTGCATGTACTATGCTCACATTTGATTGCTGATAGCAGCGCAAGAAAATTTATAGCCAACAGCACTTTCCGTGCTCATATTTACTTTTTAACAATAAAATAGGAGCAATAGACTCACAATTTAAGCATTCTACAAAAACTAATACACAACCACAAAGAGAGATCACAAACAAATAAGCAAACTTGCCTCCGACCCCACGTGGTGTGAGTTGAAGTTGGCGTGACTCCACTGGTCTGCGTGATATCTCCTGCTGAATTTGGTGAGGGGTCCAGCCGCCCTGACACAGACATCGTTGGTGTGGAAGTCACTGTCAATCACCAGGCGACTGTCGAACACTAGACAGCTGTCATTCACCGCTGAAATATGCGACATGCTAGAAAAAAGGAGTTCTCAGAAAGACGAAACTGTCAAAATTGTCAGCAAGAGAAAATTGTCAGAAGAAATTGACCAAATTTTTGGATTTTGCGGGTAAATGAACTATTAATCCAGGATTTTAGATGGCGACTATTGTTACATAATACCTAGCAAGTGCAACAATCCAGCACCCGAGTATAAAAACTAAATCAGACAAAATTTAGCATTATTTCATTTAACATACAGATCAAAAGCCGGTACATAACTCATTCTATTTTCAAAATATCTTTAAATTTCTCATACTATTTCTAAAGTTTTCATGGAATAAATTATTAAAACATAAAAATTCTACGAAATCGGAAATAGTATGGAAAAATTAGGCAACCTAGTTTTTTTTTAGCTATTCCAACTTTTTAAATAACTAACACGGATACCCTAAAGGATCGTGCTGACTTACCCTTGAATGCGTGGAAGTCGACCCTCTTATCCTGGAATGAGACCACACACTGACACGAATAGCTCTCCCACTCCCCGTCCACTTTGAGAGACTGGGTGGTCAGGGGTGGAGTCCGACTGTCTCCAACTGTACAGCTCACAATTATCCAGCGAACGCACGCCATTCTTCGTCACGATTGAATCGACTAGTTCTTCAACCTAAAATAAAACCGGAGAGTCATTTGAAAAATCCTAGGTTTTCTTGTTCTCAACTGACCAAAACGCCACTGATGAAGTCGAGATTTTTTTTTCAATCCTCAGCGCAGTTGTTCCAAGTTATCTGACTGCAGCTCTCATGGGATAACAGGATTGAGCTTTAACGGAGACAAAAAATTTTATACTTCGTAACATGCAGAAAGCAGATCCGAACTGCTCCCTCCATCCGATTCGCTCCAATTTGTTCCAATCTCCAGACTTCACATTTACAAAATTTTCATATTTTTGTCGTTTCTTGTGCATGTGGCGATGGATAAACAGTAAAAGTAATGAACAATCAAAAGTTTCAATTAATGTAAAATAATCAAATATCAGCACCTTTTACGAGCTATGAACCAGTTTTTACACAGACTCTTCCAGCTAAATTGATCAGAAAAGCAAATTTTTCAAGCTCATTTTCTGAACACTACATAAATATCGATCAAAAAGACTAAAGAGGGCTTCCATAAGATATTTTAAATAACCCAATTTTAAATCCAATTATTAGTGGTGTTAACAAGTTTGGGTCAAAACGAAAAAAGAATGAACCGACTTCAATTTCAACTGCATTCTTTGAAAGAAAGTCAGTCAATTTAGTGATCGAGAAGTAGGTTACTCAGAAAAACCAACAAAATCAACCATGCTGTCAGATCAAACCAACAGGAAACAGCAATGCTTATTCAATTGAGTTGATTCACTTTTTATTATTGGTGATTCTGAATTTTTTCTATTATTTTTTCTCACAAAGAGGTGGAGCTGCACTTCGCAAACACAATCGAGAAAGGTGCAAAAAAAACTTCAAAAACTTCAAAGTTTGAAAAAGGTCAAAAATATATAAAATTAACAAAACTTGTGCTACTACAGGTTCAAACTCTCCATCTCTAGTTTAAGCGCCACAGGTCCTAGTATCTGCGTCATGGCTTCTGAACAAAATGTAATCAGTAGAGGCCAATAAAACTTGAAGGTACCCAGTTGTTAATTTTTTTTAAATGTAGTTGCGAAATTGAGTGAATTTCAAAATGATTAAAATTGAGTTTTATCCAGCTGAAAATGAATGTTTTCAAAGTTACGGATACCATAACACGCTGTTGCATAAGATGTGTAAAAATCTCGGCTGAAATTTTTCTTTGCTTCCGAATTGGCACTGTCGTTTTTGCGAAAACGATAAATTGCAAATTTTGGTGAAATATTATGCAAGAGTCCATAGCATATTTTTCACCAAGCTGGGAAAAGTTGCTAACGCATGGGATACCCTTAGCTTGTTCTTTCGATTCCGGCATTAATCTCATATTCGGCGCCCTAGTTTTTGAGCAGATAAAAATATTTCCGAAATAGAACAGAATTTCAAATGGATTTTCCTAAGTCCAACATTGCTTTTGTACAAAAATTAGGGCGTATATGCTCTGAAGAGAAGTTTTTCTACACTTTTGTTCAAATTGAACAGTCTTTGTCTTAGATTAGAGCAATAATTTTTAATAAGCCTTCGAAAAAATTTTGTAAAAAAAGCCTTATTTGACAAAAAGCCCATATTAACAAAAAATTGGACATTGACTAAAAATTGATTTATCTTCGCCAAGCTTACAATTTTTTTAAATGACATTTTCGAAATCCAAAGTTAATTTTTTGCAAAAATTAGGGTGTAGCTGCCTATGTAGAGAAAATTCCTACTACCCGTTCTCGGGATTAAGCCTTTCATCTCAGTTTTGGCAAGGTAACCTGCAAAATGTTGAAAAAGTTACATATTCTAAAGGAAAGAGATTCCAAAAAGGCCTAAGTTTTAAATCAATTCTATAGAAATGAGGGCGTAACAGCATCTGTAGGGGAGGTTATCAGAAAACGTTCTTTTGATTGAACCCTTATATCTAAGATTTAAATTTGTAGTTTTCGCGAGAAGGAAAAAGCCAAAAAAAGGGTCGAAATGCCCCTGTGAAGTTTTTTAGATTACAGAACGTCATGCAAGGAAAAAGAGATTTATGCGGGCACATGAGGGAGTAACTGGTCGTTGCCTTGGTAATATTTTTCCTGAAAATTGGTTGTATATTTCTCAAGAAAGATAAAAGTATCTTTTTGCTAAAAAGGCAAAGTTTTTAAATCATCTTAAAAAAAACAACAAACTCCATTTATTTATACCTGTTTATCAAACAGGAACAAGCCATCAATAAACCAAATACAAAAATGTACTTCGTTGCAAGAAATGTAATATAAAACAGAAATAAATTTACAAAAGTGCCACCAGATGGCTGTAGATTTAATTTTCCTAACTTTTGAAGTTTATGAGAAAAGACTGATACAAAACAATTTTAGATCTTGAGTAACTTTTAAGTTTCAGATAGCTCTCAATTTTGAAATCTGAATAAACTTGAACAATATCGTGTTAACAAAAAAAGCTAACCTTAAAAAATAAGATAGTGCTCAGTTAATTTTTGGTAATATTCACTGTTATTGGTTTCATACAACATTTAGATTTAAAGTTATTTGTGTCGATTTAAGTATACAACTTGGTTGACTTTGGCATTAATCCTTTATTTCTGACCTGGAATACTATATATCTAATTTATTTTTGTGGTCAGAAATTTTCGAGAAATGTTTATATAAAGCAGAGATTTTCTTAAAATTCATTCTTTCTGATCTTATTTCTCCTGCTGGGGTACGACCTCCCGACCTGCCATTTCTAGTGTGCTTGTGCTATCCGCTCGGCCACATGACTTTAATTTGAGGGATAGATCTAATACAAAGTGGTAAGTGTCACAACAAATTTTATTTTTGGATTGTATTGCTACGACTATTGTGTTTACTCGAAGCATGTTTATCTCGTTGCAGCAGAGCAGTTAACTGATTTCTCATTAGTTCTTTCAAAAAAACTCAAAAAAATGATTAGAAAATCTACAAACTCTAGAAACTCTACAAACAGAAAAATTGCCTTCGATGGGTACGGGATTACTTTTGCTAGACGAGAACATCAACATCTTCTATCTCGAGAAACCTGACACTTGTGCTTGCTCTTGGGCATTCTTAGCTTCTGTTTTAACCAGTGGTTCCTCTGGTTTAAATACTGGAAGGGTTTCCATTTCTACATCCAGCTGAGCTATACGTTTGGCGAGACGTTTGCCATGTACCTTCGAAACCACCTAATCTCTCCTAAAACATTTCTTTGAGCGCTCTAATTGACTTAGGGCAGTCGTTATCTTTACCTCGAGTTCTTTTTTTCGAGCTTTTTTTCTCGAGATTTTTTTTGCTAGCTCCTTTTTTGAGCTCTTTTTTCTCGAGATTGTTTTTCTCGAGCTCTTTTTTCTCAACCTCTTTTTTCTCGAGATCTTTTTTATCGAGCTCTTTTTTTTCGAGCTTTTTTTTCTTTTTATTGATGTTTTTTTTTCGTCTGATTCGAGTTAAGAGACAACAAACGTAGAGACTCCATTGTATGCCCATTTGACTTGTCAGTATAGTTCGAAGTCAGTGGATGACCAACACAAGCGATTTCACTGTTGTTGCTTGCATTCTTGGAAAACATATCACGGCTAAACTGGCTCAGTTCATGTTATGCTACAATTCTTGTTTCGCACTCACACTTCATGATGTCTTTGCTCATTGAACATCGAGTCATTGGCGATACCCTTTGAAAACACACAGCAAGCTGACTCAAAGTTTCTGGAACGAACATTTGGTCAGTTTTCTCACCGTCTCTGCACTTTTTGTACTCTCTGATATCTACTGCATGCTGTGCTTTTTTCCGCTCTTGTCTCGGCATTGACTTTTGGGCCAATTCTTTCTTTCATGTACCTGTAAATATCATGCATCGTTCAAAAATAGACGTTTTTCTTATAGTTGACTTA